TTTTTTTTTTTTGAAGTCAAGTAGTAAATGTTGCATTAGCAGTTGATAAGCTATGTTAACTTGAGCTGTAAATGTCTCCTGATTGGCTAGCCTTTTTGAGTCAACAGTTTCACATTTAAAGTTAATGGTTTGTGTGTGAAGGCAGGACTCAAACTCAGCTGTGAAGCCAAACTCAGTATCCTAATTTTGAGGTGTATTTTTGAACAGTTTCCAAATTCCTCAGTGCAGGGCTGGAAAATAATATAGCACTTATTTTGACTCTGTTCTTACAGAACAGAACAGGGAAAGTCAGTGTGTCAATATATTTTATTCTTACGAGCAACCCCTGCATGCGCATGCCTTGCATAGATAATTATTTCGTACAATGAAAGACATAAATCACAGGAGGCCAACATTTAAAAAATGTCCTAAAATGTGCATTTTATTTCATATCATTATACAATGTTTACATACAGGCATAATTTTAAAACTGCTTAAAAGAAAGTGTGTAAAATAAAGTGAGGGAAATACCAATTTATAATCCCCCCTCCCAACTCAACACGAATAAAATACAATTTAAAACAATCTCTACCAAATTCACGTTTTCTCCTGAATTTAATGAATCTTTCAATTTCAACATGAAAAATACAGTGGAATGAATACTCAAGTTGAAATGCTGACCTACACATTTGTAATGAGCTGCAAGTCTACTAGTTAAAAAAAAAAAAAAAAAAATCAGAGTCTTAAATATTTTGCTTCTTGCCTATCCCTTTGTTTTACTGAATTCGAAGGCACAGAAGGTTCAAATCTTCACAGATCAATAAAACTCAGATAAAATAAATTACCATGCTGCACAAACATTTGAATTGTACAGTATCAAACTAAAAGCCCACTGTTGTATCCTTTGTTAAAAGTAGCACCAGTCCGCACCTGATCTGTCTCTCCAACATTACAAAGCCTTCTTGTCAAATACAGTTGGCACTTAAAGGTGGGACACTTTCTGCCGCAGCAAGGATTCCTAGACAGACTAAGCATACTGTATTGCTTAACTCTCTACAAAGTGTAGGCGACATCAGGTTGGGAAATGGCACATTTAAACCATAATAGTTTAACCCGCATATGGCTTGCCCATTTTGGTTTCCCTGACCCCTGCCTGGTAGGTAAGCAGATGTTCTTGTGACTGGTGAAACTAAAATAAAAACATGTTTAAGGGGTTTCATGGCAAGCAGGTGTAAAAACAAAAATAATGTGGTTGCATCTAAGAAGGTTTTCACATGTTGTTTAACTCCAGTAAAGTTTGATCCAACATCTGATGCATACTAAGGTTTTCTTCTTTGGCATGTGCCACTTTCTCTGTTATGGAATTAAAAAATTAAGACATGAATAACAGTTCTTTGGATGCATCAATTTCTCAACATGAAAGCATGCAATCATCTTTTATCATGGAGGAGTTTAGAAGGATGAGATATATGCATGCTCATAAATACAAGCATCTTTAGCCAAGAGAATGACAAAAGATCCAAAACAATCAAGTGAACTTCAAGTGATGCAAGTTCTGAACTGTTGTGCAGCTACATGTCTAAAAAACTGACCATTGTCAAAAGAGGTAAGATGTTTGTAAGGTTCATAAGCCACTTGGCTTGGGGGGGCGTGGGGGGGAGAGAGGATTATAAAAAGAAGGGGGTGGAATTTACAACAATCAAACCACCAAGAAGGACAGAATTTATGATTCTGTACTCCAAAAACATTCACACTTTTCAAGCTGCATCATAATTCAGAACTTGCAGAGAAGAAAACACAAAAACAACCCCCTTCCAATTAAATGGCTTCTGAGAAAATTAACATATTATTTTGGCTATTAAAATATAATGAAAAGGTGTTTTATTGGCAGTTAGTAGTTTTACGCTGCATGCACACTTTTATAGAGCGGTCATTTAACACTCTTATATGACAATATATAAGCACAATGTTCTGGAGCTACATGCTACCAGAATCCAATAACAACAACTTTATGCTGATGCAAGCATACCTTTAAACTGACTAGGTATTTTAAGATGGGGCTCCTATTTCTAAGGCTGCTTTCACCCAAAAATAAGGCCATTTCATTGTAAACTCAAAACAGAGCACTAAATTTCCAGTTATGAAAGAGCTGGGAATATTTTATTTTGGTTTTGAAATTGGAAATCTTGGCTAACATCCCCTCTCCGCCCTCACTTCCCCTAGTAGCCAGTGAAACGCTTAGGTCCAAATTATAATGGGAACTAAAATGAAAGAATAAGTTTTCTACAAGAAAGGGTGCTGGTTTTTAAATACTATTGGCCAAAGACTAACTGGTAGTATAGTGGAAAGGATATACCTATTACACAAAGACAATGTGCCGCTGCTCCAAGACACACATTTAAAGGAGCCATATCACAAGGGGCACTTCCACATTTTTCCAGCATTATTTGAAAATGTCATCCATTAATTTATAGTAGATAAAATACCTTGAATATCAATTTACAGGTTTCTTGCATATTTCTACATGGATTTATTCATTCTTGAGGAATTTAGGTAAGTTTATGTTTAAAAACAGCTGACAGTATATCCACACCAAAGTTTAATCCTCATTCAATGCCAAATTTAGTTCATTAGTTAGGCGACTCTTTTGCTCAAGTTGCTGGTAGAGTTGGTCTGTACAGTCAGCAAGCAAGTTAAAAGGAAAAAAGGCAGAATGAAGAAAGATTAGACAGAAAATAAAGATAAGTAAGAGTTAATACGAACTAGGTCACAAGACAGTTCAGTAACTAGTAAAACAGAGAGAAATTCCTTTCCTTACCTTTAGTCACCAGAGTACTAGAATTATAAATACCTACTCCAAAAACCCAAGGAACATCTACTACAACCTTTGAAGAACTTCTCTAACACTCCTCTTGTGGGATTAGATTGTGGGACAGATCAATAGTGAGAAAAAAAACAAAAGGCAGACCCAAAAGTACCTCCCAAGTGAAACCATATGAAATGTAGTGTGACTTCTAAACCTAGACCTGCGTGCAGCAGCAACTGTGCCAGTGTTTGTTTTAGGACTACCATCATTTTGTGCAAGTACACAAGACATGGCACAATTTCATAGCTAAACTTCACGTGACTGAAAGCAATTGTATAGTCAGGCTTTATAACTGAAGAAGTGCACTAGCTTAGTGAAATCAACTGCATCTTGGCTAAGTGTAACAGACACTGAAATCACTGCACCCTTTTCAGTGAGTCTCTTGGAGTCTCAGCGTTCAGTTTAACACAACTAGATCAAGCCCTGCATGACTAACTGCATGTTCTCTGTATTGTGTGATTTGGCAACTGAAGTAGCTTTGGGAAACTAAGGTGCATTTCCCAATTACTAAAATGAGGAGGATTTAAAGCCCATGAATGTAATATGAGATTCACACATGTACATGTGACAGGCTTCACAGTAGGCAATATTCAGGTGAAACAATAAGTGCAAGCTGCCATTCTGCTTGAGTAGAGCAAAATACTCAAGGACTGTCATGACAGGTGAGCTTCAGGATCAAACACCACACATACAGCTACAGTATTAAAACAGAAAATCTAGTTAGGATTGTTCCATGACAATGTATTCTGTTTCCTTCTCTTGTTCTGTATTTTTATTGACAGCATAAATATGAATTGAGACTATTTTACATGAATATTTTGACCGTTCATACCCAGTTTTTCCAGTGTGCAGAACAATCTGTTTTGCCATTCAGACAACACACCTGAGAGCTACAACAACAATATACATCATCCTACAGCAGTGACCAGGCCATACAAGGCCACAGGACACATTTGTGCAACAAATGGAAAACACCTGAGCCAGGTAAGATCAGAAGATAGCCCAGAACCCGGGGCTGTTACCAATGACAGACTGCCTTAGCATCCCTCTTCATCACTGCAATGTTACACATTAAATCACACTTGGAAACACTCTCCAAAATCTCAAGATAGCCAAGCATCCACTCTGAATATCAAAATCTATATAGTGATTCTTCAAAAAAATATGGTGTTGTAATTTGAACTAAGAGCTGCATATTTGTTTGTATCATAACACTTTCTTTTTTTATTTGAGGCAAAAAAATTAAATTCTAGACGCCCAAACTAAAACTAATTCTAAAAATCACTAGTCAGACTTGAACATCTTGATCTCAAGTTTTCCAACTTTTAAACGTGTGTATATATATAAAAACAGGAACAGGAAGGTTTAAGCATTACACTTGATAATTGTATAGTTATCGGCCAATATGAAGATTGTCCAAATTACACATCTTTATTTTACGGGTTATAATTCTTTTGAGAAGAACTAAATCTATGAGGCTTTTTTAGATTTGACGAAAGTTGAAAAAAACAAAAAAAAAAACTAAATAAAAAACCAAAATAAAACAAACACACACCACCAAAAAACCTTGAGTTTCTCTATCCTCACCTGGTTCAGATTTTCTAATGATCAATATTCAGATCAAGCATGGTATCATGTTATGAAAAGATGCTACGAGGTGAAATTGACAAAAAAAAATAATCAAAAAACAGAAATGGAAAAGAGTGTTGATTTCCAATTAGAACCAAAACAAGAGAGGAAAAAAAAGAAATTACCAATTATGAAAGGACTGCAAGAGGGAAGGATGCATTTTCAAGCCTCATGGAGTACTATACATTAGAGAAAAGTTAAAAAAAAATAATAGCTCTCTAAGGCAACTCCACATTACCATTTACATGGGAGTGATATGCAATTAAGTATGAATATCAGGGTACGGAACAGTAAATTTAGGTACACTGATTTGAGCTGATTTATGTTTTACAAGCTTTGGAAACTTTAGTAACAAAATCTAATGAAAGGAGTAATTAGAAGTCAATTTAATTTAAACTGATATTTACTTTAATGTAAAAACTATTTTAATTTTCCCCTCATTATGAACAAAATGAAGTTAGAATAGTTGCAATGAATTTAAAGAAATACCACTGCACTTGTAATTATATATAACATAGGAGAGCAAAAAATGACAATAATTTCATGTTCTATACTTAAAAGAACAATGTCAAGGTCAATATGAACCCACCATTTAGGTTTTTCAGAACAAAGATTTAAAGGGCCAGAGACCAATGAAAACTTTTAATTTAATATGTAATGAAGGCAGGGCAGTATGAGTTAACTACTGACAATTACAAGACTGATTTAATTTTTAAAGCATTTCTTTGCAACTCAAACTTTGAATTTTATGCCAACACAAAATTGTAAAACTGATTAAAGATTAAAGTGAAACTCCACTGCATTTTCCCCCAACCTAGGTAGTAAAATTTAAAAAGTAAACAACATCTACGGATTTCCATAGCTCCAGAACTCATATAGTTAATCAGAGACCAGGTAATCTGGTGTTTTTATTTAGAAAAAAGTGATTTTTGACCTGACATTATCCCTTTAAAAGTTATTTCCCTGAAAAGTTAAATGATGAATGCACTTATGTAAGGCAGGAAGTCTTTAGTATCAAGCTAATAGGAAATTCTGGACTCTGGAAAAATGTAACTGCCAAGAGATCTCTAAGGGCCAACTTGCACTCTCAGCTATGCTCCCATGACCAAATTACCTCAGTGGGAATTGTATGCTTGCAGATTTTGGCCCAAGAATAAAAACCTAAAAAAAACCCCACTGAGCCTGAGTCTCATATTATCTGCATTTTAATTTGAGGGGGAAAAAATGAAGATCCCACTACAGAAGTGATCAATTTAGGATACCCAGGTGTAGCACTGTCACCCCACAAGCTAATATTATTGGTTTTACATTTTTGATAACCAAGCAAAAGGTTTGTGAAAAAGGGTAGAAAAGTAAAGAAGGGAAAGGCAGCCAAAAATAGATTCCTAATGGCAAAAAGCAGATTTTTAACTTTATTAATAGTTTTCAATAAATAAAAGGCAAAAGAATAGCAAAAGGGATACAGCTTACACAGTGGGATGTTTTATTTTACATTGAAAGAAGTAGAGTTTCTGTACAATAGAAGGCACAAAGAGCAATATCCTGAGACAGGAGTCTAAAAGAAAAGGATCAAGGTAAGCTGGAAGGCAGGACAGTGAGCCCATGAAACATCCAAGAGCTTGGAAAGGTGGTTTAATCCAGTTGGACGAAGATGTCTTTTTACAGGTGAAGCAAAGAAATTTATCTGCATGAAGAAAAAGTTGGAAAAGGTGGAAAATGAAAATGGCATAATGGAAAGAAATAAAGGGAAAGAAACAGCAATAGCACAGCAGAACTAAGCATGCCAAGCTAGACTGCTAGTAAAATACCATCCCACACCTACTACTGGAATGTCACAGCAATGCCTCATTTACACTTAGATGGGTAAATGTATTTATAGCTGAGAGTCAGTTCTGAATGCTCTCTCCCTTACTTAAAGTCCACTTACTAACAAAAGAAAGAAGAAAAACCTCACAACTATAATTCAAAGCTCATTACAGACAAGCTGTTACAACAAAGAAATCTCCAAAGCCTGTGGCATTGCTTTCAAATTGGACATCTCTTAGATTTACGTTATGCTAGTATAGTTGCTAATGCATGCAAGAAACTACGTTTAGTTCTCTGCACAGGAAAACCCAGAGGCCTGCAATTTGTGCATAAAGATGTTAGTGTGAAGAGCCACTAAAAGTATTTTCCGATTTAGAATCAAAACATGCAAAACAGATAATATTAGACCACCACAACTTTCTAATCCTTACAAGGTATGGCAAAGGTAATAATTTGTGCACCAAGGGATTTTTTTAAATTAGATAGGATAATTTTAAATTTTTAACACATGCAAACCACATTTGTAGCTCTACCCAAAGCCTAACATTTACTAAAATACTGGAACTCCAGATCCTTTGGATGCAGAAGGAATATCTACTGGCATAATTTAGAGTGCACCACAATTGGCCAAGTTCTGCTTTGTCAGTTTTTCAAAATTTATGCACAAGAGCATCACTATGGGGAGGAAGAATTTAAAGGTTTCAGCACAGTTGACTCCTGTTCCCTGTCTTTAGTATCTATCAGAAAATTCAGTCTGTTACAAATACTAGACTGCCAGGCACATCATGGGTTGGTCATATTCTTACCAACCTTGCAGTTTTACTACTTTTCATATTTCTTCCCTTAACTGCATGTTAACTAAAGCCAGTGTTGCAATAGTTCTGTCTTGAGCTATTTCTATCACTACCAGTAAAATATGTGTAGATATTTTCGAAGACTCAAGACCACATTCCAAATCTGTGTCCCTTTTTTAATAGAAGGTCTTAAAAGTATTTTGTCATTAGCAATAGCTGTTGAGATATTAGGGCAGGCCAGAAAACTAAGAAACACTACTAAAAAATGAATGAAACACGTTATTTAAATCCCAGACTACACTGAAATTTTCAGAGTAGATTCTTTACCAGAGGTAGTTACTACTCACAAGAGTAAAACAAACTCTGAAGAAAGCCCATTGTATAGCACATACTGAAACATTTCTATTCTGGCAACTTTAAAATGGTGGTCTGTGTAACATATCTGAACAGAAGCAAACTGAAAATGAGAAAGTAAAAGCGAATTAAGCAAGACAACTATAAGGAAAGGCCAATTCATGGATCCAAAATGAAAATGCAAACATGAGTTTATAAAGCTAATCTTGAAAAACTCTTAAGAAAATTCACTAGGACAGGCAAAAAGTACTTGCCTACTTTTTACCAAGACAAAAAAAATAGCTATATTTTACATGCTTGAACAAACTAAGAGAATTTGTTTGCCCTAGAGAGTTTAATTTCATAAGACTGCAGCTAAGCAATCAGGAAAGTAGCGCAGGCACAGGCGAAGAGGACATTTACATGGAAGTCATATCGTTGAGAGTGTGGTCCAGCTCCTCGCTGATCGCTTTGTACTTCAGTTTCTGAGCATATAACTCATCTAATATTTCCCAGGGGAAGACGGAGATGTGCGAGGAAATGGTGTAAGGTCAAGTGATGGAAGGTGAAGGTGGTGGCATGGGATACCATCCGGAAGCAGTGGCAGGAAAAGGGAATAGTGCACAGAAGGAAGTGGTGTAGTAGACAAAGAACAAAAACAAATCAAATATAAATTAGGAAGGAATAAAAACAGAAAGTAGCTTTACATGAAAAGTCAATGAATATTACTGCATCACTGGCAAGCCAAGCTGAGAAAGATAAAGCCGAAGAAAATCAAGCATGAAAAGAAAATACAGTTACCATTTTGCTAAACTGTATTTGCTTGTATTCTACAAGTTGTATAGGCACATGCAACAAGTTACAGATCTAAAAATACTGCTGTGGTAGAACTGAGCTTTCTACATCCATTATTCTTTGAACAGATATTACAGTGTTTGCTACTCTGAAACAGCTTTTTTCCAGAGGTTTTGTTCTTCCCAAGCATCTTAACTTTTTTCTTTTTTGCTTTCCCTTTCTTGCTCTTTTTTTTTTTAAAACTGAGTCACTGACCACTGTGCAGTTGGCTGGTTCTTTCATACCCTTTAAAGACCTCTAGCTCAAGACAGGTCTCCTATACCAAGCAAGAAATTTTATTGTAACATTAAAGTAGCACATTTTCAAGGGAAATATTTTTAAATTAGAAAGCACAAGTGATTTCTCTAGAGCATAAAAAGTACTTTGCTAAAATTCTGAAAGATTCTAAAGTATCCAAAACAAATTCCTTGTCCTCTATCAAATCATCTCAGCTTCTTGATGTGTACACAATGCACTGGTTTTACTGGACAACAACAAGTATTCTATTTCAAAAAATAGTTGCGCTGACCTGTGCTTACTCCCAGTCATAAATCGAATTAGCTTGCAACATTCCTAACAACCAAACAAAATACTGCTCCTTGCTGATAATTATAAACAATTAAACCAGGGTATTCATTTTATTTTCTGATTATTTACCTTCTCCATATAGCCAAGTAGAAGAGTTTAAAGGAAAACAGGTCTCAGAATATAAAAGAAAAAAGAAAAAAGGCAAGAGCAAAACACTGTCCACCTAACCTGGCAAGTCAATAATAAATCTAGACTGGAAAATACTATATTGGTTTAGGGGGTATTCTTCACATTCTACTTAAAGGATTATTTTCTTTTGTTGGCATGGGACTGGTCACATAAGTAAGAACTTGCAGGACATACACTAAAGTATATACAGGTGGGCACAAGCTTTGTATTTGGTAGCAAGTGAGAAAAAGAAGAATCATACCTTCTAGGTCATCAATGCTCTTCTCCAGCTTGGTTACTGATCTCTCAGCAAATTCAGCACGAGTTTCAGCCTGAGGTTAAGAATGTACATGTCAAAAAACACAGAAGTAATTTTAGGACATTTATGATATATCTAGAGGTACAAAAGCAATTATAAGTATGAGAAAAACAACACAGCAGTGGTTTTTAAGTGCACCTTTTTTCTTTTTAAGTACATTGCACTTTATATGCAACATGGACCTAATATCACATCCCCGACCATCTCGACTGCTGTACTTACTGTATTTTTATGCACATAATACAAAGCCAGAATTGCTTGTATTGTAAAATGCTCTTTTTTATGAGCAGGCATTTAACATACTACTATTATCCATAAACTGACTACTTCATATTAAGAGACAGAGTGTTATTGTAAGATTTGTTACAGAATTGCTCAAATTTTACCTCCTTCAGTTTGTCGGTCAGGACTTTAATCTCCTCTTCATATTTGTCTTCCTTCTGTGAGTACTGCAATTAGAAAGAGTATCACAGATGTTAGACCAAGTATTTGGTCTAGGAAAATATAACATGCATGACAAATCTTCCAATGTAACATTACCCTCATATCAGCATAGTTAATGGTGCAGTGTATTTTCTTCTACAAGGAACCATGATCATGTTTTGGTTTATTTATTACAAGAACCAAGTTTTGCTCTAAAATGCATGGGACTAGGTAGTGGTAACTCAGGGCAGAATTTAACCCTAAAATTTTAAAGTGGGAAGATAGGTTAAAGGCAAGATAATATCTTAATACTAAAGCTGCATGACACAGCACATAATATATATTACAGTTTTATATACGGTTGAACTGTTAACACTGATTGAATCTTTATTTGAGTAATGATTCTCATGATTCTGGAATATGGCCAAATACCAGCTAAGTAACAGGTCCAAATGCTTCTATTTATCATACGGCCTTAATGAAATACTGTGCAAATATTTAAAAAAAAAAATGTAGGCCTTTTGGATTAATTACTTGCCAAGTGACATGCTTTCACATAAGGCTCTAGCCTACCTTCTCAGCCTGAGCCTCCAGCGACTTCAGGTTGTTGGTCACAGTTTTCAACTCCTCTTCAAGCTCAGCACATTTGCTATTATTTTGGAACAGAGGCAGGAAAGGGGGCAGGTGGAAGACCAGTCAAGCCAAAGAAATAGGAAAAAAGGGGGGGGAAAAAGATAGAGAAAAATGAAAACAATTATGGAGCAAAAGAACGGCCTAGAAAGTAGCTGAAGCCATCACAGAATTGAAAGCAATCCTTCAGTGCCAGAATTATCTTTAAAATATTTTTTTAAAAAGCAATTATTTTCTACAGCACTGAGCTTACTTAGAGTGCTTAAACATCCTTTAACTATGAGATAGTTCAGCTTCTTTTCTGGCTGCACAAAAGATTGGTTGTAAAGGTAAAAATGAATAAGAGACTAAGAAAGCCACCAAAGCAAGATGCAAAGAAAGTAAAGAATGCAGTGAGGATTCATTCATTATTACCGATGGGCTAGGAAAGCTGAAAGATTTGGGTTGCAGCTAAACCTAAAAACTGTATATTAGTATCAGTACCTTATCCTCTGCAGCCATTAATGCTTTCAAGGTTTGATCCATTATTCTTAACTGTTCTTCCAGCTGTCGGACTTGGCTGTTAGTGAACACATGAAATGCACAAAAGCCATTCACAAAATCAGTGTGCAGGTAGAGCATGCAGTGACAACACATACACATATACATACACACACATTTACTTGGGTGTTTACTGTTTATCTCAATCATTACAGTAAATGAGCAAATCATAGCTTTGAGCTGAACACATACAGTGTACTGCCAACATTTCATGCTGTTACAGTTACTGTCTTGCAGCACCTCACGCACTTCCTGGGGAAGTTCGATCCCTTACCCTTCCGAAAGTTCAGCGCGTTCCTCAGCCCTCTCAAGATCACTCTCAATAATTACCAATTTACGCGCTACCTATAAGAGGCAAATATAAAAATCATGTGTTATTGCAAGCTCTGTGCTAATGCAGTCAATGCCTTGGGTAATATTTCTTGCTAGAATAATCTAAATAAAGGATCAAGCCTTTTCCATAGCATTATAGGTTTACGGATGTAAGGTCAGAAGGGACCTGAGCAGATCATCACGTCTGACCCCCTGCCCTGGGCAGGAATGAATACTGGGCTCACACGTCCCCTGGTAAGCTTAAGCTCATATGACCCCAGCTAGGTAATTATCAAGTCTCCTTTTAAAGACCCCTAAGGTAGGAAGCAGCACCACTTCCCTTGGAAGCTGGTTCCAGATCCTGGCCACCCTGACTCTGAAGTAGTGCCTCCTGATGTGTAGCCTGAACCTACTCTCAATCAGTTTGTGGCCATTATTCCTTGTTACTCCGGGAGGTGCTCGGGGGAAACAGGGTCTTACCCATTCGCCTTTGGTCCCCCTTGGTACAAAGTTTCCCTACTCCAAAAAAAAATGAGTTTACAAGTCAACCAGACCTTTTTTTACTCAAAAAGTTCCATTCATATTACCGTACATTGGGAATGGAGCCCATGGAAAATATCAGCTAATGTGACAGAATCATAGAAAATTAGGGTCGGAAGGGATTTCTGGAAGTCATCTAGCCCAACCCCCTGCTCAAAGCAGGACCATCCTCAACTAGATAAAAAATATGTTAATAGTTCAAGAGTATTTTTTCTTTTTCTGATAGCTTCTCTGAAGGAGGCAGGGATTCTTCTCTCAACCATTTTGGTGCAAGTGTAGCATAGCAAGATGCCATGACACTAACTGTGTGGTGTCAAACCACATGGTAAGAGAACTGACAGGTTAGCTTCATTTAATCCTGTTGGTACCAATTTTAGCTGCTGGACCAACAGCCTGCTGTGCTAAGGAATAAGCAAAGCTCTTCAGCAGACACAGAACTGCCTCATCTCTGGAGACACCCGGGAGTACACTTCTGCTATAAGTCCTTCATGGGAGCAGCACTGTGTTTCTGACCTCTTGTGCTTGTATGACAAACAAAACCAAATAGCTGTAGTCAGAGTCTGTATGGCCTCTGCTCTGCAATTTGCACTCAAGAACTGACCTCTTCATATTTGCGGTCAGCCTCCTCAGCAATATGCTTGGCTTCTTTAAGTTGGATCTCCTGGATTTCCATTTTCTCTTCATCCTTTTGGGCTCTGTTTTCAATGACCTTCATTCCTCTGAAGACAGGAAAAACAGGAAATACAAGGTTTAGAGTTTGCTAGTTTACCTCTAACCCTCATGCCATTAGATTAAGATGAGTGAAGCATCAGAGATATTTGACTTCGCTGTGAAATTAAATTTCCAGGGCTTAGTTCTGTGTACTTGCACTTGCAGGCTAAGAATAAACTCTAAGGGAGTCAGATTTAAAAGGAAGAAATAGTTCATTATGTTGTTTGTGCAACTCACAACTAAGCAGACATCTGAAATCATCCATATCTGTAGATTTTTCATACTTTTTTAATGTAGTGACTAGCTCTCTCCCCCTCAAAATGTATGACAATGGGAATTGCTTTTCAGTCCCCTAAGAAAAAATGACTAAGGACAAAATGTACCCTACAACTCACATGCTAAATACTTCAGCTCCTTGGCACTGCATCTCCAAATCCCTGGAAGACTGGCAAAGGGCATATTTCTGAGGTGGATATTTAAAATTCTGTAACACCTCCTGTATTTAAGATCCTTTCTGCTCTGCACAAGAAAATATATTTTTTCTGTAATTACAGGGATTTACTCCAGGCACCTGACAAAAATTCCCTTTCCTAGCTGTTACACAATGTGCCATGCACCTGTTCAAAGCTTTTTCACCTTAAAGTGGCTGCACTGTCAGTGCTGACAAATGCACACTCTGTAAAATGTTCAGTGATCTTTCCAGAAGAAATAAGTTGTGACAGATAACTTGTAAAAGGCCAATGGTGTAAAAGTCCAAACACCAATGGGACCTGGGCTCCTAAAGCACCTCTAGTGCTTTTGAACATTCTATCCTAAATTCTCCTGATCCTGCATTCATAAGAGCATAAGAAGCTGCACTGATGCACAAACTGCATACTGCCAGTCCTTTCCTGTTTGCCTTTCCAGACCATCTAGTCTTTGTGTAAGATTTTTCTTGAGTGCTCCAAGAGTGATGCAAAATACAGGCTTCTATCAGGGAAGCAGTGTGCATCATCTCCACAGCCCCTAACGATTCAAAGGATACTTGAAAATATTATCTCTACACTTGGCATGTAAACTAAGATTAAAACCTGAATGCTCAGTAAGTCTTTGTGGATTAGGGGAAGGATTGGCTGAGGTCCACATATGCATAGGTGAAACTGACCCCAGGCAATCAGACACAACAGTAGTTTAGCTTACTTTTGGTTAACTCACACGTGACTATATTTGATTTGTAAGGATAGGGAACTGATCAAAAATTGAGCCATACTCACCTTTCACTCTCATCTGCTGCCTTCTCAGCTTCCTCCAGCTTTTGCAGAGCAGTTGCCAAACGCTCCTGTGCACGATCCAACTCTTCCTCAACCAGCTGGATACGTCTGTTCAGAGAAGCTACATCGCTCTCAGCCTAAATAAAGGAAGCAAAGAAAATAAATTCATAATATAAGCTAAGTCTTTTGTAAAGGACCATTGAGACAGTATTAAAATGAAAGTTGGGAGGAAGCACATGGAACGAACCCTACGCTAATCCATCAAGTAGCCTGCGTGCACATACCCCCACCAATGCCTTCATTAAAATGTACAGTCATCAATTGGATTTATTGGTCCTCCATTTCATATGAAGTACCTAAATACCACACAACTTGTACTAACAAAATACGGCATACCGTCAGTTCCATTTTTTCCCCCCTGGTTTTGTGCATTCAGCTTGCAGCTATGAACAGAGTAAAGACACTAAAAGCTTTGTTTAAATGTAGCAATTTTTTATATGAACTAACTGGTCTGCCCCAGACCAGTGTATTGACAGAAGATGTGCAGCATTAATCCCGAGTCTAGGGGCAGGAATTTGCCCTTATTTCTAAAAAAGAAGTCACGTTACTTCTTTGAGCTACAGGAAGGTAGGAAGCATTAGCTCTGTGAGTTAGCACAGTGAATACCCACACTTACAATATATCAGTGAAGGAATCTGCATAAACCTCTCTCACAAATGGAGTGCTAAAACACTGGAAAACAGTGTAAATGCAAGATATAGATGGGGGTTGTTTACAGAAGATACAATGCTAACAGGTATGTTAGCAATTAAATTTACATTACAGAAGTCCTGGGTTCTACAACTGCCAGATACAGGACATGTGAATGGGTACGGTGATAAGCATCCTCCTCATTATTTCCTCCATCTTTGTCTTCCTTGCATTATCTACTTCTCTGGTCTTCTGCATACCTCTTTACAAGCTTTCACTTGAGACATTTTTCAAGCTACATCTGCTTTGGTCACAGAATAAGTCCTGTAACGGGATTCTATAAACAATTTCCTTATTAACCCTCTTCTTTTCAAAAGGACACACAGGTGAGAAGTGCTTAGAATAAAAGATCACTATTTTAAAAGGTATATTACTTCCAAGAAAACAAACTACATTTTAAGTTATTGAAAACTTACTTCAACATTTACCCAATATGTTCTTCCAGGAAAGTGCAACTGTGATACCTGACAACTACTACTTGCAAATACTGGTACCCTTTTGTGACTGAAGATTTTTAGGTGTTACTATTTACAACCATAGCAAGAGGCCTAGTCATGGGTGAGGGGATTCTGAAAAGGTGTGATGGAGAGCTCCCTGGCACGGCAGGGTGCACTTGGCAGCAGTGACCAGAGCTATCAACGGCAGAGAGCTCGCTACCTGTGCGCTACACAGTTACAGTACAGTGCAATTGAACCAGTGCACCTCCCTTCCCCCCACTTCCCTTCCACCCCAATCTGTCCCTGTCATCAACTAAGACTCCACTGTGGTAAGTTTAAATGAGAACAGCTTCTATATGGGGCAATCTCTACCTTCTACTACAGTGGTAAAACTGCCACTAGAACAAATGGAAGTTGCACACACAGAGCAAACATACACATTTATGAACTATTAAAGGTCACTGAGAAAACTGGCAGCGAGACTGCAAGATTAGGTACAGAAAGAAAATAAATCCCTAAACATCTATGTTATCTCAAGTTTTCTATTTTCACTGGGCATGTAATCAGGCTGTAAGGCTCAGCACTCCTTACAAGCCACAAGATTTTTAGAGGAACACAGATATTTCAACTTGAAAAACAAAACTTTTTTTGGCAAGTGGGGTTTGCAGATAGTACTTTTGCAAATGCCGGTCGAAAATACTTTGGGAAAGTAGCAATACTGCAAGTTAATTATTATCATGCTAAAACTGTTCTTACTGTGATGAGCATACAATATACTTAGAAAACATAGGGTGATTAAAGTTCAAGTTCTTACTTCCTGTTCTGCAAGCTATAACTCAACAAGGGTTTACCAACTAGCCTTATAAGGCCCAAGTTATTCTGCTGCAGAGCAGTACTTCTGTCCTTATATGGTAAGGAAAGGGAAAAAAATACTGATGACATTAATGGGCACTCCCATGGCTAACAGATAAACATAACCTTTTGCATTTATGCCAAAGCTGTTGTACGCTACATATTTTCACCGTGAGATGACATGAATACATTACAGGTTGATTATTGTTACTGTCTAAGGAAGATTTTTTGTCAGCTATTCTCATAACTGGATTCACCGACTTTTGATTTTTTAAAAAAGAAAATGGCTGCAGGTTCTCAAAATCTTAGTAAACTTGTTAGCAATCAAAAGATGTAAGTTCCAATATGCTGTGTCAAGTGCCTAAGCTTTCTTATGGTTTGCATTTTGTACCTGGCACAGGAGAAAAAAAAAAATCTAGCTGATCACGTCTCAGTATTATACTAAGGGAAGGGTCAGCGTTATACCCCAGACTGCTAGCTGCAGTGAACGCTTTGATAAGAAAAACTTAACAGTACAGCAGCAGCTACGTTTGTGTAAATGACACTCTTTCCATATAGCAAAGCCATGTATTTACATGTGCTCATCAGGTCCATTACCTGTTTTTATTCACATCACTACTTATGTCTATTAAACGGAAATATAAATATTATTCACGATTATAAGCTCCCTATGAAGTCTAGATAAAATATTCAAGAAACAAAACCCTGCCTTCAAGCATGCAAAGCTCAAATCTGTTTTATGTCAGAGATTTTATAAGACTTGCAGAAGTCTTCTTATTAGAAGTGGCTAAAGCCACCTTTATGGGCCTGACCCTGTTTTCCATTGAATGCAACTGCAAAACTCCTACTGTTTTAAGTAACACAAGATTAGCCCATTGTACAACAGAAAATGTAACTTATCAGTAAAACTGTTTTTGCTGAAAAAATTCCATAGTGGCTAAGTTACCCATCACCTCAAATAGGAAAAATCACTTTCCTTTCCTGACCTAGTCCCTTCCTTCACTGACCTAGTTACTGCTATCAGCTTTTTAGAAAAACATGTCATTGTTAGGATTGTTTAAAAAGGAACTTTTAAAGAAACAAATTAGCAACCTGTGACATGATCTACCTCCAACTGCAGAAACGGTTATGTGAAGTGAGTTTGTAAGAATGTTAAATACAGTCAGAGAATTCAAATGAGCCATCACTGTAGTCTCCAGGAAGGCCATCTGTAACCAATCAGGAAACATTTCTTTCACTGATGGATATCAGATAGCACACTTGTGAATTTACTGCCTAGATTAGAACAGACAGAAAATTCCAGGCAAAGGTCCCCAGGCACCTTTTTTATAACCAAGTAAATTGATGATAAAACAACTGTTTTACATCATTTTTCTACAACTACCAAAGACCTCAAAACACCTCTACGAGGAATATTATAATATATATTTTACAGAAAGAGAAATTTAGGTACAGAGATGTTAGGAGAACCACCAAAGGTCAGTGGTAAACCAAAGAGCAGAGCTCCTGGTCTCTTTCTGTACCCACAAGGGAAAGCTCCATCTCAAGGCATCTACCAAATGATGCTTCTCTCTTTTGTAACTTACTTCATGTGGAAATCTGGGTGGAACAGGTGACTTGGCTCTTACTTCTGATATCAGAGCACTCACTGTCCTCGAAACCATTGGCTAGACTGGAAACATCTGAAAGAGGATGCTCACAGTGCTGGCCTCAGGTGCTTTTTTCTGTCTCTGAGAACCCAGGTGTAATTCCCTGGGTAACCTCTGATAAGCAGCCTCTGTGCCCCAGCTCCGGGTTTACAAAATGGGCCTGGTTTATAAAACGGGACAGCATCAACACTGCTCCAGAGGGGTACTTGGAGAAGACATCCATTCACCACGTTCATCACATACTACACTAACAGAAACACCTCAATCCAGGTACACGCTGCATGGCAAGACACTGTAGTCAAAGCCTCAGATCCGGCGGCCAGGAGCTAGGCCCCGAGTTCAGGCGCCCGCACAGACGTGACCCGACATTCAGAAGGAGCAGGAAGGACGGGTAAGGAGGGGAAACGTGGCCTCAGGGCGTCTCAGCAAGAGCTGGCCTCCGCAGGCATCAGGGGCCCGATGGTGCCCCACGACCCTGGCACCTAAACTCTGCCCCGGGTGACTTGCTCTGCAGGGCGGCGGCTCCGGCCGGCACCGCGGCCTCCAAGGGCTGAGCAGGGCTCCGAGCCGCCTCCCCCCACACTGCGGCCGGGGCCTGCGC